CTTGCAGCCAGGCCGACCCCGAGCGGCCCCGCGGCGGGAGGCCCCCCCCTCCCCACCCCCCCCTCCCGCGAGGGCCCGGGGAGCGTCCAGGACCCGGCCCGTCCCCACGCCTGTCCGTGCTGCCGGGAGTGGAGGGGGCTAGGACCGCGGGGAGCACCGGGGCGGGGGTCACCACTGCTGCTGGGATCCTGACTGCTGTGACTAGCACCGTGACTAGCGCTAGGAAGAGCACGATGGCTGCTAGGACCTTACTGTTGTTACTAGGGTTGTGACTAGTACCATTAGGAATATTAGGATGAGCACTATTGCTGCTGGTTGTTACTAGTATTGTCACTAGTGCTGCTTTCTAGTACTACTAGCAGTATTAGGATGATCGCTATTGCTACTAGGATCGTGACTATTCACAGTATTGTTATTAGTGCCACTAGCAGTATTAGGATGAGCACTATTGCTACTAGGATCGTGAATATTGATACTATTGCTACTAGTGCCACTAGGAACATTAGGATTATTCACTATTGCTACTCAAATGGTGACTGTTGTTATGAGGGTTGTTATTAGTACCACTTGGAGTATTAGGCTGAGCACTATTGCTGCTGGGATCATGACTATTGTTACTAGTATTGTTGCTACTACTGCTTATTGCACTACTAGCGGTGTTAGGTTGATCACTATTGCTACTAGGATCGTAACTATTGACAGTATTGTTATTAGTACCACTAGGCATATTACGACTATCACTGTTGCTACTAAGATGGTGACTGTTGTTACTAGAGTTGTAAGTAGTACCACTAGGAGTATTAGGATGAGCACTATTGCTGCTGGGATCATTGCTATTATTACTAATACTGTTACTAGCACCACCGGGAGTATTTGGATGATCACTGCTGCTGCTAGAATCGTTACTATTGCTACTAGAGTTGTCACTAGTACCACTAGGAGTATTAGGGTCACTATTGCTACTCGGATGGTGACGATTGCTACTAGTATTATTACTAGCCCTTACAAAGCGAGAAACTCTGATCCCAGTTTGAGTTTCCATCCCTGGCGGCCGCAGCACTACGGAGATTTGGGGCGGGGGGGACGGGGGGGTTGATGGTTTCTAGAGCAGCCGAGGAAGGGGCTGAGCTCCCTGGAGGAGTTTCTCTGCCCCAAGTCGAAAATCCTGACCAAAATTAAAAAAGACTTGAGGGGTCGCCGGATGAGTTAAAGGGAACTCGAGGGTCTGAACGGGACGAGAGGGTCGGACCTGACGGCGCAAAACAGGGGGGTCTGATCCCTTCCTAGGCTCCTTCTGCATCTGGTTCGTTTAAACACACACACACGCGCTTATACGTATATGTATCTGTGTGTATAAATAAACACGTGTATATGTCTATATGTATAAATAAATGTCTATGGACCCGCGTATAAATGTATGTATACACACACATGTGTGTCTGTGTCTTGATTTACAGGCACGTTTTTTGTGTGTATGTACAAATACATATATGTATATATGTGTTTGTGTGTGTGAATATAGATACATACACACACACACACGTGTTTGTGTGTATGTACACATACGTGTGTATGTGTGTGTGGATCTGGCGGAGTACGGTGTGTCCTGGCCGGCAGGCTGGGGGGCACCCCGGGGGCGCTGCGGGGTGCCCCGTGCCCTGGAGCCGGCCTGCCAGCCCGTGTCTGCCTCCCGGCTCGCCCGCCCGCGGCCGGCGTGAACAGCCGGGAGCAGGCGGGCAGGTGCCCCCTCCCCAGCCCCCGGGACCCAGGCGTCCCCGCCCCGCGCGCATCCTCCCAGCGGAGCCCGCTGCATCCTCCAGGATGGGCCGCGGCAGGACCCCCGCCCCCAGCACCTTGCCCAGGGGGTCCCCGCTTGGGTGCGGAGCTGGGCTCTGCCCGTAGCCCCTGCCCGGTTCAGCTTCCCCCTGGCAGGTCGCGCCGGGAGGGGAAGGGGAAGGGGCTCCTGGGGCTGCTGGTGCTTGCAAGGGCAGGCGTGGGGGGGAGCCAGCCTCGGAGTCCCAGCCGGGTCCTGCACACCGGCGGCCTGGAGGGAGGAAAGAAGGGTTCCCTGCCATTGTCCTCCCAGGGGGCTCAAGGCCATCGCCCCCAACCCCAAAGGCTGGAGAGGGCTCCCCCAGCCCCCGGCCCTGGAAGCTGGCGGGATCCTGGGGGGGGGACAAACAAGGGGGACAAGTTTCCCCTCTCCCCGCACCCTGATCACCGGCACCTGGTCCGCATTTGCCTGTCTCCTTGGGGCGGGGACGGCCAGAAGCCCCCTCCCCAGCCCCCCGCGCTCTCCTGCTGCAGTGGGCTGCGAGCGGATTAAGTTACCGGGCTGGGGTTTTTGCAGGGGACGGGAATAGCACAGGTAAAGCTGTATAAACAGCCTGGGGCTGCAGATCCAGGGTTAGGCAGAGGACAAGGCCCAGGGCAGAGCTGGGGAGAGGGGCGCTCGGGAGGAGAGGGGGAGGCCCGGAGCGGATTCGGGGAACCCGGAGATGGCAGCACTTCCAGGGATCTGCCCCCCCAGCGGTGATGTGGAGGTGGGTGGTGGGAAGGAGAAGGGAAACCCCCCGTGCTGCCTCAGCAAAGCGATTCGGGAAATGAATAGCAGGGGAGGGGG